CCCTCTCTCTTTGAAAAGAAGGTGGACATGTATGACACATGTTGGTTATGTATCACATGGAGAGGACAATTTCTCTCCACATTTCTATTCAGACCCACCCATCCCTTCCCCTTCCCCATCCTTCCGTCCCCCAACAAAACAAAAAACACAAAAAAAAAAAATTCCAAAAAACAAAAAACCTCCTTTGATTTGGATTATGTCTTTTAGAACTATTTCGATCAATCCTTATGGATTTGAGGGCAAATCAGTTGGTGTCATTGTGGTTAAGTCAAGTTTCGAAGCACTAACCTCAGAAGGTGCTCCACTGGACGAGTTGCATCCTAGGAGTGTGCTCACTGGCACTCCATTACATCTCAGTGTTTTAGCTGAGTTGGAAGATGTTCATCGAGAAGAAAGTGAAAACATCTCGTGCCTCCAAGTTCAGGGTATTTAAATATTATTTGAGTCTCTCTCCCTCAGTCTCTCAGATATCTGACCTTGAACTCCGTTCAACTTGGAGTGAAGTGTAGATTTCAATTTTTTGGATATCTGAATCTCGTATTCTTTTCGAATTTGGATTGGAGAGCATAACTAACAGTCAGCTAGACTGCCAACCAACCTGACTGGCAATCAGACCCTTCATTAGTTGGAGGCACTAGCAGTCAGGTACAGTCAGTCAAAGGCTGCGCCTGTCAGAGTTAGTTAAGAGTTTCACTTAGTCTTCAGCCAAGGGAAACTCTGCCAAATTTATTCCAAAGATACCCAAGCACCAACAAAACCAACATCATCTTCATCATCAAAGTATTTTCTCAATTAATTGGAGTTGGTAATACGAATCTCGGTCTGTCATTCTACTTTATTAAGGGGCCATATCCTCAATGAGCCCATAAGTCCCCATATCTTGTATCACTACTTTCAATCATAACCTTTTGAGCCAACCCATTTCCCTTTTTTAGCCTTCCACTTGAACTAACTCGCATCTCTTAACGGGTATTGTACTGATCCTGGATATACATGGCCAGTCCACCTAAGTATACTCTCTTTAATCTTATCTCCTATTGATGCCGTACCTAACTTTGTTCGAATGTATTCGTTTAAAATTCTACCCTTTCTTGTCTTGCCACTTATCCATCTCAACATCCTCATCTCCGCCACACTCATTTTATCGATATCTTGTTTTTTTACCGTCCAATATTCCACCCCATAAAGCAAAGCTGGTCTCACAACTGTCCTATCGAACTTGCCCTTCAGCTTCATTGGTATAAAGTTATCACATGAAATTCCGATTCACATCTCCACTTTGCCCAACATAACTCTAATTCTATGAGCGACACTTTCCTCAATCTCTCAATTTTCCTGGATTATCGACCCAAGATATTGAAAATGTATTATTTTTTAAATCTCCTGGCCATCAATATTAACTACTTCCTCATCTCTACCCCTATTATAATTAAACTTGCATTCCAGATACTTTGTCTTAGTCCGGCTAATTTTAAAACTTTTAGATTCTAGAACATCTTTCAAAGTTATAACTTTTGTGTTGATGTCGTTTCAGGTTTCTCATTGATCAAAACTATATTATCTGCAAACAACATGTATCACGGTACCTCATCTTGTAGGTGTCTAGATAAATCGCCCATAACTAAGACAAAGGTATGGGCTCAATGCTGACCCTTGATGCAGACATACTGTCACTGGAAACTCTTTTGTCTCTCCATACCAACAAAACCAACATCAAATATAAAACAACATTCTTTATAATCTCCATATTCGAGGTGATTAGTTACAACACTTAGTCATCATCTCAGGTCATACAGGCTAGACAATTATATAGGATTGACAAGTCAGTAGCATCTCCACAATCACATCTCCAGTGTCCATACTAAATATGTAAGTTTCAGAAACTCTTGTTTTGTTTATTTGCTCATTTTCCTATCCAAAAGGGTATGAGAAATTTGAGATAGGATGGGGGATGTCAGCATCTGTTAGAACCTGACTATCAAAACTTAATAACAAATAAAAAAAATGCTTATAAATGGGTCACACAAGAAGCCTAATCTCCAAGGATAGCAAATATTTTGGAAGTAACCTATTAAGATTATCAACTTCGATGAGCACCACCTCTGGTTATGTCAGTTGAAAGTGAGAAACAATAAATCTCCTTAATTATGTAAAATTCATTTAAATTGAATATAATTAGATATTTCCCAAGTTTAAACAATATGCTAATAGGAATGCTAGTAAAAACCTTTACAAATACATTTTAAGAGAAACAATACTTGTAGGGGAGGAAGCATACTTCTAGTTTGAAGTTAAAGAGCGGCGGTAAAGGGCGACCATTTGGAAGACGAGCATTTGGTTCCCGGAGCTCATCAAAGAAGGGATGCACACATGCTTCTAGCTGCAAACCCAAGCAAAAAGTCACAATATACACATATTATATTCCTTGAAATACAAATATACAGGAATTTTCTTTCAAAACCTAAGAAGGACAAGCCAAATGAAGTAAAATATCGAGTAAAAGTCTAAATTTAAAGGTGTGCAAAAGTTCAAATAGGGATTCCTCTCCAGATTGAGCATACTCTGGTCGGTTCATAGTATAAGATGTATTTTAAAGTATGGAGCACCAATCAAGTCGATCAAAAAACTTACGACATTTGTGGTTTTATGCATATAGATGCTTTGCTGGTCATTCCACATTGTGACCATTTCTTTCTGAACAATGAATATAATTTTCATAATAAAATAGGTCAGAGGACAAACAAGATAGGGACTCGTACTCATTTTTAATTACAGTGCAGTCCCAGACATCAGAGAGGAGCACTTGGAAAATACTTAACAGTATAACTATTTTATATAATGATCTTCAAAATAATCAGAAAGATTCTGATCCATCCCAACAAAATCCTCATATCAGAAAACATGCCAAAGACGACGGAAGCACCAACTGGCATAGTTTGGATGTTTCTTTAAATTCAAGTAATTTCAGATATCACAGATTTTTCTAATGTGAACCATCACTCCAACAAATCATTCATTATTTGTCTTGGAAAAGTTAATAAATTACAGGTAAAGCATGCCCATTAAAGAAATATGCTCAATGAATTCCCTAGGCACAAGTAGAAAGAATCACTCACAGCAGTGCAACGGAGATTAGGTGAGTACTGAAGAAGCCGCGAAGCTAGATCAATTGCCTCTGGTGGCATACGTTTGTGGAAGACCTGGAAAATAGGCATCCAAAAGGAAAAGCAACCTACATAAGTTTCCTCAAAAGAAAATTCCGAAAAAGCAAAAAAAAAAAAGAAAGAAAGAAAGAAGAAGAAGCAACTTTCAGATATTAAACAACTGAAGACTCAGAAGCATGCAGGAAAACAGACAAGAAGATAAAGAAACCACAGTAGCTAAAGGCCAAATTTGACATCAAGCTTTATAATGCTTTCATTCCCTACTTTATAGTAGATGGGAAACATTTATTATTTGAATGATTCACCAGAAGTATTTTGGCGATCAACCATTCTAGACATCCAGAAAATCAAGTAGTAGTTTCATAGTTAGTTGAGGAAACAGCCCCAATTAATATAGTCCTATGTGCCTTCCGATGCACATATGATATCTCACATCATGTAAAACAATCACAAGAGCCAATTGTTTTCTATTCATGCCAGGAGTGTACTAGTAAGAAACACAAGTTAATGTTAATGTTTAAATATTCTATGAGAAAGTATCAGTTATTGGCGACAACCTTAGAACATTTCGAAAATATAAAAAAGAAAACACCAAGCTCCTTTCGGAAGTATTAGTTTATAAAATTATCACCAAAATCAAAAACTAACTTGGTATGACAAACAAAGGGTGATTCCTTACCTTGTGCCAAGGGTGAGCTTTTATTTGTGGAAATCTAAATTCAGTGTAATTTGGATTCATACATCTGATTTCCTCACGAGTTGGAGTTCCAAGGACCTGCAAGAGTTTCATCTAAGGCATAAATTAACTTTAACCATAGCATGAATTCAAGAGTCATTTTGAGAGGAAAATATTTCTCACCTTGATGATCTCAACAAGCTGGTCTACTGCACTCTCTCCAGGAAACAATGGCTAAAGAAATTTCAAGGAAGTCAAAATGCAGAAAATGAATAAACATGTCAGAAATGGTTAAATGTATGTCCAAGGCGAGAAAACAAAGTAAAAAGAAACTGAAGCCTGACCTGGCCAAGGAGAAGCTCAGCAAGAACACAACCTGCTGACCATATATCAATTGATGTTGTATACTCTGTGGCACCAAATATGAGCTCGGGGGCCCTATAGTATCGAGAGCATATGTACGATATGTTCCCTTCACCCTTGACCTGGAAGCAATTTCATGTTACAAAATCTACACTGAAGTTGATCAAACTTAAAATGAAATGACGAAAAAAAACAACCCCTTAAAAGTTCAATGGGTATTTAGGTTATTTTATTTTTTGAAATATTTATTTTATTTTTATTTTTTTTATAAGTGCACGAGGATTAGAAGTATGGATGCCCTTAATCTCATCTATATAAAAAAGATAAAATTCAAATACTTAAGACTTGCTTTCAAATATCCAATCAAGATATGACAGTTTAGACTGATAGCCTGTAGTGAAAGTATGGACACCCAAAATTTTGCTCAATCCAATGTAGAGTTACAGGGATCGGGATGAAAACCATTTCCAAGGTTTTTATTTTTAAGATTGTTCACGGTTAATATTATTATAATAAAAGAGTACAAAGATTAGGGTCGACTTGTACAAAAGAAGTCGAGCTAAAAAACGTCGAGAAGCAAAAAATAAGAGCTGTCCAAAGAGAGGGGCTTATAGAACATGCCCATACAAGAGAAAAAGCTATGCCAAAGAGGAAGAAAAAGGCCACCCGCCGAGGTACAGAGCAAAAAAGGAGATGGACCTGTGACCAGACCAAGGATCATGCATATTAGTCGCAACTAAACGAGGGCTAAAGGCTGATTCTGAGTGGCTTCCTTAGCCAGACGATCTGCGAAGTCGTTCGACATCCTCCAAATATGCATCCATGAGATGTCTATAACCCTGCAAATATGCTCAATCTCGTAAACAATATGAGCTAGGTACCAGGAGAGACCTTTCTAGAGGCCCAGGATATAATGTTTTTTGCGTCTCCCTCGATGTGCAACTGGGAATCCCAGGAAGGGTTGAATTTCTTGATACCCATCAATAGGGCTGTAGCCTCTACGAACTGGGAGTCAACGAGACCAAGGTGTTCTGAGTAAGATGCGAGAACATCGCCATTATGGTCGAGGGAAACCCCTCCGGCTCCTACTGGGCCTGGGTTCCCTAGGGAGCATCCATAAAAATTTAGCTTAATGAATCCCACAGGGGGAAACATCCAATTGGATGCTCTTGAGGTGTGATGAGGAGTGAGGCGAATGAAATTCTCCCAGTTGTGAAGGAATGTAGCAGCCGAAGTCCCGATGTAAAGTCTGTGATTGGATGCCCAAAAGATTACCCGCGAAGTAATCTTATGACACAGAGCTGGGGGTTCGCTTTTAATTCCACGAAAAATTATTGAATTTATTTCGAGCCAAATTATCCATAGGTTGCTGTTAAAGAAGCTTTCCAGAGGATTCTGCCCAACTTCGGCTAGTGAGAACCGAAAGAGCAAGATAGCAGCACCGGTATAGATGAAGGGGTAACCCAAGATACTCCGAATAGTTGGATAATATGGCTCCAGAGTTGAAGGGCAATCTGGCAATGAATGAGCAAGTGAGGGTTCGTTTCTTCCTCGCAAAGGCACATGACACCTATTGGGAGTTTGGATACCTCTTCTTTGGAGTAAGTCGATAGTAAGAGCACGTTCAGAGCAAGCGATCCAGTTAAAAGCTTGAACTTTTGGAGGTGCGATGGAGGACCACACTTTGGATAATACTGAGTTCGAGTTGAAGGGAAACATAGGCTGCATCAGTCTCTTATAGAAAGAGGCCACCATAAAAGAAATGGTGGGAGAGGGAGTCCAGACCATGGTGTTCGTCCCCGTAAGGGTAAGAAAAGTCGAGTGGAGGGATGCCGAGAGAGATATAAAATTTGTGGTTTCTTCTTCTGTGAGGGATCACCTAGAGGATGGATTCCAAACCCTGCAGTTACCCGAGATAACCATTTTCTCCGGGACCAGAGACCATTTCCAAGATTGGACAGGGAAAGAGGAATTATGAAAGGCTAAAAGGCCCCTAGGTTCAAGATCGCCATCCATACACTCAAAACTTCAAGGAATGAGATCCCAATGTGCTATAGAGCTCAATCTGAACTTCTAGGAATAGAATGACAAGTTCTATTAGTCTGAGCTCCATCTAGTTAAAACTCTCGGTCCTCAAGTACGCATAACTAGGTTCCCTAAGTTAGGAGCGCATTTCAAGGACTGAGATCCCAATATGCTAGAGAGCTCAATCTGAACTTCTAGGAATGGAATGACATGTTCTATAAGTCTGAGCTCCATCTAGTTAAAAATCTAAGTCCTCAAGTGCACATAACTAGGTTCTCTAGGTTAGGAGCGCAATCCATATAGTATTAAAAATAATTAATACAACATTTTTTTTAGGAATAAAATTTTAACAATTCAAATTTTAATTAATAAAGTATAAGAAATCCTATTACTCTTTAATAATCTAATATTTTTGCACTCCTTAAATGTAGTTTATATTTTAATTAAGTAACAAAAATTTTAAAGAAATTGAAACTTCATAAATGTTTTTTAAGAAAATCGTATCATTATGTAATTTAAACTTTGCATTCTTTAAGAGCAGTATGTTGGGAAAAGGCTTTGATGATGATGATGATTCGTTCAGTGTAGTTCGTGACTTTATATGATGTAATAACAATCAATTTTATATGATATACTAACAGTCATGGTCATCCTTCTTTGTTGAATAATAAGAATTATGACAAGTATTTAGTTGAAGTTCAAGGTAACTACTAGCCTAGTAAAGAGCCCAAAAGGGACAGTATAGTCTACAACCATTGAAAAATGTGTGAACAACATGCAGCTAATATATTATATAAATATTAACTAATTATGCAAAATAATCGTTGCTTACTATTAAAAAGTTTGAAACAACACTCAATTTCCACATATAGTTATTTCCACATAGTACATACCATAGTTATAAAAATCTCCCACCCAGGTTTGTGATTCCGATTCGAAATCCCGATTCCCCAATTCCAACAAGTAATCTTCACAGAATCTAGATATCAAAAAAAAAATATCTTCACAGAATCTGTTTATGTGCACTCATGAATCTCGATTACTTATTCTAAGAATCTCAATTCCGACACTAATAGAATCCCATTTCTAATATTTATTGATTCTTGAGTCCTTAATTGTTGAATCTATATTCTACATTTGTTTGAATCTGGATTCCATATATAACGATTATTTTAGAATTCAAATTGATAAACATCAAGTACCATGATTCGTATATGCAAGAAACGATGAATATCAAACATCGATCCTTTTTTTTTTTGGAATCGTAATATCACAAAAGCAAATATTAATGTTCAAATCCACAAATCCATGGAAACCGATCCAATTGCCTCCTGTAGTTCATATGTGCTCCAAATAGTAATCCGAAGAATGCATTATCAAAGTATTGGTTCCATAAAATAACTTTCAAATGCATATATCTAAAGTTCTTAACAACTATCAGTCGAATGCCTTTTGGAGGTAAAAATTGATTACTCCACGTTTGCAACCCCTATATTGAAGACACATACTACAACCTAGACAACACCATGGCACAGACAAAATCCTAGCTTGAACTTTAATAGTGAAATGAAAATTACATTTTTTTTAAAATGCATGACAAAATATTTGTATCTTTTGTAGACAATTTCCCAAAGTGGACTACGACTATCTATTAACTGAACTTACTTCGCATTATGGTTTACTTGAATCGTGTGCCAAGGTCGCAATTCAAGTTTGGAATTGGAATTGTGATTCCAACGATAAAACACTAAACTGAAAGATAGGAATCACATTTATCAGTTTCATGGAACACATTCCATACTATTATCTGAATCTCGTTTCCATATTACAGAATGTGCAATTCATAGTTATACAACAATGTGATTCACCGTGTGCGAGATGTTGATTCCAATTTCTAGGAATCGCGAATCCATGTTGTTTGAAAGAGAGTTTGACATCATCAAAAGGTGTAGTCCTTAGATGCACCGAACAATGTTTCGATTAACATTGAATCAAGTTCTAATGACAAGGAATCAAGATTCAAAAGCAAATGTTGAATGGAATAAGTTCGCAAATTGTAGGTTGCGAGAGAAGCTCCAAGAACCAAGTCTATATTACCGTAGGAGTTCTGAGTACCCTTTTGTATCATGTTGCAATCTTGTACAAGGTTAAATATCCATGATATGGGTTTCAAGACTGTGATGTTGTGAGAACCAAAAAGCGTTAATAAACTTTTGAGATGAATCTACGTACAATAATCTCTGCTAAGTTACCCAATAGATTCATAAAATCTATAAATCACGAAGTGAGTGGCAGTCCCACCTCGAGGTAAGACATTTGGGGTGGCTGCCCCACCTAAAGATCATACTTTCATATAGGATGCTTACAATAACTAAATGCTTATTATTGATCATTTAATGTACCAAGTAAAGGATTATGTGGAGCCTATTTGGTGGGTGATCAATAAAAATGCTTTACCATTTGTTTTCTCTTGATATATTTAGTGGAGCATGGAATGAAAGCCCTAAAAGGGAAAAAGAAGAAGGAAATGGGTGAACAATGATCGAAATTGCCACTTGCAGTCTTTAGTTTCAGAGGAAAATGCAACATCTTCATCTTTCAAGCTAATACCAAGCTATAGTATACGTTTGGTTTGAAATATGTAATTAGGGTCAGGCTATGATATCATCTATGTTTATTCCTAATCATCTATTTAACACTTTAAATATTTTCTCACAAAGCACTTCTCTGCTATACTGGAGGGATGGGTGCACGATTCTTGAATTGTGGGAATCCATTCTCAATCGACAGGGACAATGATTCCGGTAATGTAGGAATCACGATTGCTATTTCGCCAGATCATAACTCTAGAAGTCATTGCACTGTGTGGGATCATATTAGATTCTTGAAAGGTAGGAGGGCTCTATCCCAACATGATGAGATACTGATTCCTACAAATAAGAATCATGGTTCCTATTTTATTGGATCGTGATTCTGATTATTGGGACTCATGCCTCCATTGGTTTTCATTGTATTCCGTGATTCTGATTCCTCAAATGAATCACAATCACAGGACCAACAACTATACTTCTGAAATTGTGTTTGAGGCTCAATAGTTAGTCAATACATTCACTTCAAATCTAAGGAATCCTTTTTCAGGTCTTAAAGACCTTTGATCTCGTTTGCTTAATGAAGCTCTAAGTAATTAAGGCGCAAGATATCGTTAATTTAAGACTTTTGATTCTAAGGGGGATGAAACTCAACCTCATAGAGTTACAAATCCTGATTGCCAGGTGGGCCGAGACCCGATTCCAGGCTGATATGAATCTTGACTCGAAACTGGTATGAATCTTGATTCCAAATACATCAAAAACTCGATTCCAAATACGTTAAAAACTCAATTCAAAAAATGTTAGAATCTCAATTCCATATATGAAAAAATATTGATTGCATATGGGTCGATTTCAAATAGGTCAAAAACTTCATTTCAAAGAAGTCGAATCTCGAGTCTATATACATGGGGTTCTCGATTCCATTTGGATCGAATCTCAATTCTCATAAAGTAGGAATCTCAATTCTTGCAATCCTCGTGCGGACATCAACTCTGAAAACAAGAAAAGAATCTTCTAGCCAGTTGTGATTCCGCGATTCCGATCCCCAAAATGATTTGGAATTCAGGTGTTTCCAACAGCTAAGATACCTACATATTTCACCAAAAGCCACTATAGAAATACATTGAACAGATAAATATAACAATTTTGGCAACCAATTAATGTAGGATGCATACAACATTTTGAACATTCAAATGTTGTATACGTGGATTGAATAACTCAACAAAAGTACAGTTTTTAGAAGTTCATTCGGATTCATATCTATCACAGTATCACCCAAAATTGCAAGCAAATTTTACTGGTACGAAAAATGAAAAGTCAAAGGAGCTAGAAAGTAGAAAGGCATACCAAAATTTTGGCACTTCCAAAGTCACAAAGCTTGACTTGATGAGTCAAAGGATCAACCTGGCCAATTCCCATCATACATGAAACAATGAAATATAAGTGTCCAGCATATATGGCAAAATAAATATAAAGCCACAAAGCGTCCAACTTCAAAAATATAATAAACAAATACCAGCAGATTTTGAGGCTTGACGTCTCTATGGCAGACCCGAACACCAACATGAATATAGGCCAGTGCCCTAAATATCTGGAACCATAAAAGCCAATAGAAGCAAAAATAAATATTCATCATTTAGTTTAGACAGCAAATGAACTTTTACTGCTCATTAACATAAAAGTAACAAATTACTGTACCTGGTAAGTGTACAATTTCACATAGATAAGAGGCATCCTCTGATTCATATTACTGTAATGCTTCAGGACTCTATATACAGTCTCAGGAACAAACTCCATAACCAAGTTAAGATAAAGTTCATTTTGGCTGGCAGTAGAATAGAAACAATGCTTCAATGAGACAACATTTGGGTGATCCATGCAACGCATCAGCTGCAGCTCTCGATTCTTGTACCTCCTGTCCTGCAATACCTTCTTAATTGCCACCGTCTCTCCAGTCTCTAGGCATTTGGCCTGGACAAAAGGAACTTTTTTTTATTCAAGCCACATAGAATGACAAAGTTACAAAAGACAAAATCATTTCCATCCAAAAGAGGCACCTGAAAGACTACCCCAAAAGATCCGGTTCCAACGACTCGCTCGGCCATGTAGCTGATAGTCTGAGAGGCCATATGACAAACATGAGTCATTCTAAGCTCCCACTAATTACAGATGAAAAGTAACTAATAAGCTAGTCTAAGAGAGGGAACCACTAAAAACTAGGCCATTTCATAGATCCCTATTTGATCCATCCATGAAAAAGTTTGTCAATCTGTGGATGTGCAACAATATGCCAGATTCACTTCTTTATTAGTATTCTAGTATAACATGAATTTGATACTCTCTTCTGTTGAAACAAAACACAGCATATTATGATATTCTTCTTGTAATGTGCAACAAGAAGTATTGATAATCTAATCTTCAAACTTTCTCTATCTGATAGTGGATTCTTTTTATAAATTAACAGTTCATTCATCCCACAGAGCAGACATCAAGATCTAGTGCACAAACAAGCAGAGTTTATTTAATAGATGGTGCATGCAACTTAAAATATCCTAAAACCCTAGTCTCATAATTCAATGCTCCTTGATTACCACATTAATCCTTAATCATGCATTAAGACCAAAAGCTCTTTCTTTTTGTTAAGTCTCAAGTCCAAGCATGTTGCAATATTTCAGTTGTTTAACTGTATGGAACCCATTGTATTTGATCAAATCACATTCTCTAAGAACTTCTTCCTACTCCATCTCATTAACAGTTTCCTAGATATTCCATCAAATACAAAAAAATTAAATAATTTACAACATTAACCTGCTTGGGTTCGCCATTTTTGCCTCCAATGGTAATGGAAATGATGTGCCCAGTCTCTGTGTCAGTCCCCTCCACCACGGAGGCTGATACTTCCTGCATTTTAAATTTATACATTAAAGATGAAAGAATACTAGCAAAATAGGTTGAAGAACTATCATCAAGGATTAGCTGCATGCAGGCGAAGATCAAGCAAGCAGAACATTGAAGAAGACAAGGGAAAAAACACCAATAAAAAGAAACAAGGAACATCATGAGGTTCACTAAAATCATTCACCTTGGAAATCACGAAACCAGAAAAACAGAAAACCAATCAATTTGATCAGCCCTTCCCATGTTGCAATAGATAGGAAGAAAATGAACTTTATCTTCGGCCTCTTTCCAAACATTCAGTGCCAGCCCATTAATTTATAAAATATCAAAATTTACATATCAACAAACAGAAGAGATTCAATTATCAGGAAACCCAAATATCAGGAAACAAGAAAAAAGAAAAGCCAAGTTAAAAAAGAAATGAATTCAAACAGCCAAACAAGGAACCATCAGGGGACCAGAATATATCTCAGATGATTCAACAAGAGGAGAAAGGGAAAGAAATAAAGAACAGAAATCTCAAGAGGCACATCTACTAACACCATACTATGCTTAGCAACGGAAAGCACATAATGGCAATAAAAAAAATAAAAAAAAGTCACCAGAAAATGGATGCAATGAAAAATAAAATAAAAAGATGATTCATCACAATGACCGACTCCAAATACATTAAAAGGGAAAATATAAATGAGTAAAAATGAAATAAAGCATGGAAATATTAAATGGCATCCCCCATGGAGTGCTATATAGATAATGGCAAATTCACTTTAATAATTAGATGAAGAACAACTATCATTCAATTTCTTGGAGGAATACGGAGAAGCAGAAGCAACCCCTGAGATAATTAACAGCCAGGAAAAAGGGACACAGACAACAGAAATAAGGAATCATCTAGATGAAAAGGAATAGTGCAAGTAAAGATGTAGGTATCAAATATAGAAGATATCATTAAGAATCCATTAAAGGATTACATTTGCCGAAGAAGTGACAGATAAATATTGTGACAAGACTCAGAAATACCTTCAGGAGGCATGAAAAAAAAAAACAATATCCAAATATCATTAGGAAAAGCACAAGATCAGAGAAATAAACATGAAGGATAACTCCATACAAGAAATCCAAAGCAAACAAAATGAGAAAGCAAGATCAGCAGAAGAAGATGATGCCACTAAAAAAATGCAGCGAGAAAATGAATAAAACACAATAGACCATCCCAATGCATTAAATGAGATGAAGATTCTCAAGTATACCAGGGAAGCATGCAACAAATGGAACAAAAACACGAATCGGTAAAACTTCCGCAAAAATGAACCCAAAAGGCAACGCACATGAAGCAGATGCGCTAAAAGAAACCAGTGACCAACAGCAAACAAGGATGTCACCAAAGATGAAAGATGACAGTCTTATTGTACACGCAAAAATTACTAAAATAAACCTGAAAGCCCATAAACAAACATGCAAACCAATTGATATGCCTTAAAAGATAGCTCAAAATCTCCATAGAAAGGCACAATATATCAAAACTGCAGGCATCAGAACAAACAAAGGCCAGAGAAGTTAAAATCCAGGAAGAAAATAAGGAGAACATTAGAATGCAGAAAAGATCGAACGAGAAAAATTGCAACACATGGTACGAGCATCAAAGGCAAATAGAGCAAATCCACTATGATACCACACCGCATCTCTATTCATCAAAATACCTCCAAAACATAAACAACTGTAACAAATCGGAATAAAAAGGAGCACAGGTAGCTGGAAAAGATAAATCCTTGTAGGAGAATTAATGGATTCTCTGATAAACCCTTAAACAACGCTCAGATCACCTACAAAACTCAAATTAGCTCCAGAAAACCGCAAAAGCCAAATGCAGTTATTATACATTGGAAAATCCGTCAAAATGTAAAAAAAATAAAAAAGCCATCCAAAGCTTTAACAACAACAAAAAAATGTGAAATCGCAGAAAATACTGCTGATATAGGAAACAAGTGTAAGAAATTATAGGCATATAGACCTCAAAATGGCAGGAAAAAATACCAGGAAAAGCAGAAAAAATGAGCGGGATATACAACAAAAAAAACAGAAAATTGGCATAAAATGCTGAAAAAATCCACAAAAGAAGAATACCTTTTCGTCAGCCATTAGCCGCCGAGGTGGAGGGTTAGCGATACTGAGAGTAGAAGTTAGAAAAAGAGAGTCTCTTCTTTCATTTTTCTGCTTAATTTTCTTCGTATTGAGGAGGGGGATGAGGCCCCAGAGGCAGCAAGGCCATGTGGTCTTAACACACACTTATTACTCCTCTCTCGCAACTAAACTCATTACATCACTCGATTCTTACAAAAAATAACCTCGGATATTCCTGTTATTTCCGCTAATACCCCTCTGAGAACGCTAAGATCCCTGCCGGGCAGGTGACTCAACGAATATCGACATGGACGAAAATGACCCTCGTACTTTGCATACTGTTTTGAAAGGCCTCTATCCTTTCTCTAGAGCATAAAAGACGTGAACTTCTCTTTCGTTCATCCAGCCCTCCTCCAATTTAGATTAATTGGGTTATTAATCATTTAATCTAGATATGAGGTATTTGAGTATTTTATTTTAAAGTTTTTTCCTACTAATTATACAAATATGAAATTTGTTACAAGCCATCACCTCAATGAGGCACACCTAAATAAAATATTAAAAAAATATTTTTGATAATATACCATGACTAAATCACTCTTAAAACTTTCAGAGGCATTTTAGTTATTTTATTTTATTAGAAATATTTTTTTTATATTTTTTATTGGTGTGAGTTCAAGAGAGTGTTGGACATCCAAATTTTGGTGTCAAAATGTTTTGTATAAAAAAAACTAAAAATAAAATAGTATAAAAGGTGACATTGTGATTAGGGGTATCTATGTTGTCCATTTAGAATGGACGGTTGGATAGGGAGAAGTATAGAAGTTTTATGATATAGGGGAACATAGAAAGCTTGCCCTTTAGCTTATTGGGATTGTAGACTATGAGCATTTATTTTTGGGTGCAGTTTGTATAGTGCCGAGGCTCTAAACAATCAAAGTAAAAGCTCACCTTCAAATAGTACTAAGAAATGTGATTTCAATATTAGAAACCTTAAAATATGTTTTCATCTATAATTATAGAATTTCAAGCTTAAAAAATAGTATAGATCGAGCAAATCTATGAAGACTTAGAAATCTTGAATATTGACGGTCCAAAAATGCAACACAAGATGTACTATTTTCAAAACTTGAAATTCTTTTTTTTCTCATGCCCTACATCTTGATGTCGAGATGATCAATTTGAGGATATTTGAGCATCAAAACAACCTTTTCTAGTAAAATTTTTTATACGCTTTTGATTTGATTGTTTAGGGACTCACACTTATATAAAGTTTTCCCTTTATTGTTTTTGTACAAGGAGATCATAGTCACTATTATTTTGTTGGATGTGAAATTTAATACATAAAAGTGTGTCCCAACATTTGAAAAATTTCATTATAGACATTGTGCTCATATAATGACACATCCTTGGCCGCTTGATTAAAACATAGTGCACAATGATGATTGTAAATTCGCAATACCAAAAGTAAATGGTCTCGTTGTATATATTTCTTTATGGGTGCAGTTGGCATACGGATGCATCAATAGCTGAAGAGGTAAGGTGCACATTCAAATTTTATCATGGTATATAATTTTGATGTAAAATATTCTTAAGATTATTTTAAAATCTATTTTTATACCAAATTATAAAATTTTAAATTTAAAAAATGGTTAAAATCAAGTAGATCTATAAACATATGAAGATCTTGAAAATGGATGGTGTAGATAATATGTTGTAAAATGAGCTATTTTTGAGACTTAAATCTTTTTATTTTTCATATTCATACATTTCGATGTCGAGATGATCAATCAAATGGTTTTTCAACATTAAAACTACTTTTTTCCAGTGGATTTTTTAGGTGCATCCGTAGTTCTACATTATAAGGTTGCATCCTTATATAAACTTTTTTCCTTTCTTTATTGATTCCATAATATTTGGAAGTTTGTATTTACATACAACAAGTTTCATGAAAGCAAAAAAAATAGAGGGAACGCAGACAGAGAGAGGGGGGAGATAGAGAGGACATGGTTAGAAAAAAAGGAGGAGGCATATTTAGAAAGAGAAAGGAGTCAAGAAACAAGGGATAGTTAGAGGAATAAAACTAAGAGAACATTCTAGGATGTAGTTAGAGAGAGAAAGGATATATAGAGAGAGGAATGGTCCATTTAGAGAGAGAATTGAGTTATATAGAGAAAGCGTAGAATTAAAGAGAAATGAACGTAATTCGGTAGAAAATAACGGAGCTAGAGAGGGAAAGAGCATTGTTAGAGATAGCAGTTAGAGGGAGAATGGATTTGGGATAGTTAGAGAGAGAATATGCGTTTAGAGAGGATTTAGAGTAAAAAAAGGGTATGACTCTATTGAAAAAGAGCATGGTCAGAGAGAGTTAGAGAAACGGTTAGAGAGTAGGAAATGTAAGGGAAATTGCAAGGTACATTTAGAGAGAAAAATGACACAATTAGAGAGGCGTTAGAGTGAGTAAAGGCAGAGTCAAAAGATTTAAAGAGAGAGGGCATTGTTTGAGAGAGAAAAGAATTAGAGTAGAAAGATAAAGGGTTAGGTTTATCTAAAGCAATCTCCTTATTCTGCACGAGTAAGTTATACCTTTAAAATTTTCTTGGCGATTTATTTTTGGTGCTAGAAACCTAATAATAGATCGAAACTCTATTTTCATTCTTAATTATGAAATTTAAAATTTAAAAAATAGTATTGATCAAGCATATTTATAAACATTTAAAAACCTTGAAAATAGATGGTCCAGATAAATTATTATAAGTTGTACTATTTTAAGATTTTAAAATTTTTTTTTCTTCACATCCACACAACTCAAGGTTAAGATGATCAATCGGAGGGTTCTCCAAGATGAACAAACTTTCATCCGGTAAAAGATACTATAGGTCTCTAGGTCTCATTTTTTGAGAAACCGGAACTTCCTAAAACCCATTTCTTATAGCATCTCCTGCTAATGAACAAGAAGGTATTACATTAAACTGGAACTTCTAGTTAGGTATCAGACATGCTTGAAGTGTCAGATTGAAAAGTAACTATTTTAGCCCAAGTTACCAAGCAAGAGAGTACTAGGGCGGTGTCCAATCTAGTATACAATAGAATCAGTTCGAATAAGTGAACAAGACCGATTCAACAAGTTTGATTGTCGCACTGATACAACTGAACTCACTTTACGTTAATTGAAGTACAGGTCGGGCCAGGGCTCCGCGACCTACAGGTCAGGCCAGGGGTCGGTGATTTTTCTTTCTGTGTGGGACGATGCCGGGGAGAAGGGAAAAAGAAAAATTAAAAAATGGGTAAAGGGTCTAGTCTATGCTTTCAAGAATCAGATAGCCCCACCACATGTTCAAGTTCAAAGTTCAAAGTTCAAACAGGGGCGACGTTTAAAAACACCGTTTAAACTGGGGAGATGTTGGAAAACACTTTACCTTTAACTTTTAAGCGCATATGCTATGCTCCTTCGGGAGCATAGTTTACTTTGGGCAGATGACCTATTTTGGGAGGATTTTTTCAATCTGAAATTTTGGTGACCACCTTATAATTGTTAAATGATTATTCTCAAAAAATAAAATTTGAAATTTGAATTTTTTAATACTTAGATCTCATTCTCTAAAAATTTGATGGTTTCTATTCAATGTTGAGATTTTTTATTTTTTTTTTGCTTAAAGGATGCAATTAAAAAATTTTCTATTGAAGTTAATCTATATGTTAAAGAGGCTACATCTCCAAAATTTGAGATCTACAACTAATTCTATGTAAGGTTTTACCAGCGCGAGTAAATAGACATTATACTCCCGAAAGGGTAGAATATCTTTTGGCTTAACTTTTAAAAGGTGTCGTAGCGAGAAGACGTGTGATAAAACCAATGATTTTCCTTCTAGAAGCCGCGGTTGTATGAGTGAAAGAGAGAGGAGAGAGATTCACTTGAAATTACTTTTGCACATTATGCCACAAAGATTTTCCAAGACGCCAAAATATTCGTAAATAAAAAATTCGAAAAAATAAAAAAATTAGATTTATTAAATAAATGGGCAAGCTTCCCCTACAACAATCAAATTTTATACTCGCCCCTATCCAACCGTCCATTTAGAATGGACGACTAAGATGTCCTCAATCACAATTTATTTTTAATTTTTTTTATACAAAATATTTTAACACCAAATTTTGGACATCCAATCCTCTCTTGAACTCACATCTATAAAAAAATATACAAAAAATATTCCCAATAAAATAAAAACTAAAATGCCCTTGAAATTTTCATGGATATTTTAATTATTGTATTTTATCACAAATATTTTTTAATATTTTACTTAGGTTGCACCCCATTGAAGTGATGACACGTATCAAATTTCATATTTATATAGTTAGTAGAAAAAATATTAAAAATAAAATACTTTGAAGCATCGGATCTAGTTGAAATAGTTAGTGGCGCACTTGATCTAAATTAAACGGTTGGATAAAAAGGTAGTATATATCTTTTATACTGCAGGAGAAGCATAGAAACCTTTCCCTAAATAAAGATTCGGTTTCTAGGCGGCCAAGGCCAAGCCCGTATTTGTAAAAATGTGGGCCTCGTAATAAATCTATTTTTGCGATGGATGTTAAGACTAAATTTTCAAGGGCAATTTCAATATAGTCAAAGGACCAATGGGTACTTTATTCCTGTAATGTTAGCCGTTTGTTTGTTTTAGAACCTTTAATAATGATTTCGATGCTAATTAAATTCGTTGGTAGTTTGTTAATTAAGACATAGAGAAAGTGAATGTGAAATGGGGTGATGTCATTGTCAACATACAATTTGGCCACTTTTACTTTTTCTTCCTTTTCATTGATTAAACACGACTTTGTTTCATCGGATTCCTACGAAATTTCGCAGCGAAATCTAAGAAATGGAAATTGATTGGATATGGAATGATACTTGCCATATCTAATACGGTTCCACTTTACTGAATGGAAGATTAAACTACTTTCCCAAAAAAGTAACTGTAATATCCTCATATTTACATATTTGACCATACCCCCGCACTAATTTTCTGGGGGTGTATTGACAGAGAAAAGTTTCTGTAAGGCCGCCCCATCTCCAAAATTAGCTTGGAAACAGAAAATACTGCTTTGGCACTAAACTCTCAAATAGATTTCTCAATTGACAATTTTAGATTTGAAAAAGAAACGTTTTTACT